GCGCCCCTGCCTGGGGCACCCTCCGCCTCCGGCGTCCTCCGGCTCCTGAATCCCTGCCTCCGGCATCCTCAGGCGGGCTTCCAATGGCTCCGGCTCCAACGTGCTTCCAGCATCCTCCAGCTCGCTCCCGGCTCCGCGGTGCCTCCTGCAGCAGGGCATCTCCGGCATCCCGGCTTCCAGAATGCCTCCGGCTCCCCCTGCTCCGGCTACCCCGGCTTTCCCAGCTGCAGCTTCCTCGGCTCCGGCTTTCCCAGCTCCGGTGTGCCTGAGATCCTCCGGCTCTCCTGCAGTGCCGCCGGGATCCAGCATCCTCCGGCTTGGGAACGCCTCCGGTGTCCTCCAGCTCCGGCATGCCTCGGGCTTCCCTGCCTTCGGCATACCTGCAGCATCCTCCGGCTCCGGCATCCTCTGGATCCGGCGTGCCTGCAGCTTCCCTGGCTCCCGCGTGCCTCCGGGATCCTCTGGCTTCGGCATGCCCGCAGCATCCTCCGGCTGCATCACGCTTCCAGCATCCTCTGGATCCATCATCCCTGCAGCTTCTCCGGCCCCGGCATCCTGCGGCTCCGCGGCTCCGGCTCCAGCAGGGCCGCAGCCCCGTTCCCGTTCCTATTCCCCTTCCCCTCCCCGCACACTGCCGCCTCGCGCATGTGAAACGAAGCCGCCGCCGCTAATGAGCTCTTAATAAACCGTTCGTCACCGCCCGCCGCGTCCCTGGACAGCCCGGACGCCTGGGCCCCTTCCCAGCTCCACAGGAGCGAAGGGCAGGGTGGGAAGCACCCATGGGTGCCTGGCGCGAAGGCAACGAGGAGCCAGCGCAGACAAGGGGATCCCTTTAATAGAGGTTTGCGCGGCGGGTGCCTGGGCGCGTGCGCGCCGGGCACGCGCGTGTGCGCACATGTGCGTGCATGCAAACCCACATGTGCCGAGTGCGTGTGTGCTCCCCGTGTGCGTGGGCGTGCTCCGGTGTGCAGCGACGCACGTGCATCCGTGTGTCTGTGCACACGTGTGAGCTCCCGCAGGCACACGTGTGTGCACACGCGTGTGCATGCGCGTGCACGAGCATGCACACCCGTGCATGCATGAACGTGCCTGCACTGCTGCGTGTGTGCAAGCTCACACCCGTGCATGCACATGCACACCCGTGCATGCACAATGTGCTTGCACTGCCATGTGTGCAAGCTCACACCTTGCACAACCCCTGTGCGCACACACACACACCTGCACGCGTGTGCACAGCTCCTGCGTGTCCCCCAGGAGCAAGTGTCCCCACCAGCTCATCCCCCTCCCAGAAAGGTGGCCCTTGGGGACACCCCAGGGCTGGCAGTGGCAGGGGACAGTCCCAGGACTGTGTGTGCAAGGGGGAGGCCAGCGCCAGCCCTGCTCGGGGCTGTGCTGCATGGTGGCCCTGGCCACCGGTGGCCCTTCGGCAGGGTGGGCAAGGGGCCGGTGTCCCCAAAGCCGGGCCTGGAGGCGGCAGTAAAAAAAATCGTCACAAACACCCAAAAGAGCCGTCGAAATCTTAAAAAACAATCGATAAAAAAAAAAAGG